CAGGTCCATCAGGCGCCTGGGGCGGAACCATCTAGGCGGTTCCTCCTCCCTGCGGCGGGGGGGAGCGGTCCGGAAGTCCATCCTGAGGAGTGAATGATCTGACCATGACAGGGGTTCAACAACTACCTCCCCCATTTCCAGATCATTCTGCCACTGGCCAGAGACAAAAATTAGATCTAGTGTGTGTCCCCCCGTGTGATAGTGATAATGTCACTATAAAGTATACACACTTAGAACAATGATGGAGTGCAGATAGTTCTCAATTTACGACAAGAAAAAAGCATTCATTTCTGAGCAAGGCAGATGTTAAGCGAGTGACATCCATTTTTATGGGGTTTTGCCACACAAATCCCCACAATTGTGGAGTGTATTGTTAATAAATCTGGCTTCCCCAACCAACTCTCACACCAGTTGTGACCTCAGAAACCAGCTGAGGTCACAAATGGGGATCGCACGATCCAGGGATGCTACAAACGTCATAAATACAGGCCGGTTGCCACTGGCCCTCATTTTGATCATGTGACCGTGGGGAAGGCTGCGACGGCCACAAGTGTGGGGACCGACTGGGTCCGCCGTAAGTCCCTTTTTTTCACTACTGTGGCAACTCTGGACAGTCACTAAATGAATAGTTTTAAGTCGAGGACCACCTGTATATTGATGTACGACAGCAAATAATACGACTGAAAGTAAAATGCCAAGACAAATACGTGAGGAAGCATCTCTACGCAAAAAGCATCTTTTCCAAGGAATGACTCACCGCGCTTCTTCGCCAGGTGGTCTGGGTGAATTTGTCAGCAAAGCTGCCCGTGGTCGCTTCAGGTGTCTTGCTGCCTTCGTGGCAGCCACACCTAACAGCCTTTAGGCAGAAAGGAGAGAGAAAACCCGGTGAAAACCAAGAATAGCCACGGAGGCCACCTCACAGGAGGAGGAGATCCAAAGCCAGCTTCAGTCGAGAGGCAGTGTAGGTACAAATTCAGATTAAACAGATCCAGTAAGAGTAGACCTGCCTTCCCAAGAGAAATTTAAACGCTCCTTTCTTAAACCGTCATGCAGCTCAGGGGCACAACCATTGTCTGCCGTTATTGTGCTCAAATTTCTTTTCACGCGCGGCGTGATTACTTACAAGACGACGTTCAAGCTGTTGGATGGTCTCGTCTTTCGTTTTCAAATCATCCTTCAGCTGTGTGATCTCGCTTAATAATTCGTCAGTCTAGCATGGGAAAAAAAGTATTAACGTGTTTCGAGACATATTATAAGGTCTAATTACGTCTAATCTGTTGCGGAAGGAAAAAGTACGGCTTTGAAATCAGGACTCAGTAATGGGTTTCACATTACCAAATGTTTAAGAATGATACAGACTTCAGATATTATTGGTAGCTAAACCCTCATATTTCTCTTATTTATTAAATGTGTTTGCCGTCCATCTCGCTGGGAGACCTCAGCCAT